ACAGAAACAAAGCCTGAAGAGATTTCTGAATCCCAGACTAATGGTCAAAAGGATCACATCCATTCCTCATCCAAATGCCGAGGATCACGAACAGGGACTGAAAAAGAAGAGGCTGTGTTGGGAGAAGGTAGGCTGGGATGCTGGGCCGATTCCCACAGGAGAGACCCCTCGTGGGTGAAACGAGCCTCCCTCTCCCCCTGGCTGTCAGTTTCTGAAGCAATTTCGTTTATGGCTCCTTCTTTAGTCTTTGTTATTTTTTCTCAAGGAAATTATACCCCAGCACAGGAATACATGGGTCCAGCTGATTCACTCAGCTATTAACCAATTATTTGAATTGACATTTGTATATTTTTTCTTAGTAGAAGATTATTGGTTTAACATTTGAGAAAAAGGGGAAACCAGAATATAGGCATATAATCTTTCCCTTAGCTATTGCAAAGCTGCCAATTTGGCAACATTATTGAATTGGGAAAGAAGAGTGTGTAGTTGCCAAATACCAACTATGTAAATTAGATTGAGTAGAGAACCCTCAAAAAATCAGTCAGCTTTGTTAAGCTTTGCTTTGTTGTTTAGCTGTACTTTTAGCAAAACGTATTATTTGCCTACATGGTAGATTATGCCAGATGATTTTACTTGTTATATTGTTAAATTGCCATTAGAATTAGAGTCAAGCAGAGAAAAGATAAGCATTTGCCTGGGACCAATGCTTTGCCCTCATCCTACTAAGACTGCCAGAAGTAAGAAGCCTGGATGGCCTTGCCAAGTATGGATATGATACATGAAAAATATTCATATAATTTCCATGGCTCTGCAACATTTTACAACATATGCTCTAAAGAGAAGACTATTTCTATTTTTTTTAAGAACCAACTATCATATTTCTGTTTGAAAAGGAATACCAATCCTACTGTTTCCGAGTGTACGTTTAACCAAAAACTAGCAGTCAATGTCGTTCTGCCTCTTAGTTGAATGAGCTCTCGCGTGTGTGCGTGTTCATGTGTGTGTGCACACATGCACATGTACACATGTGTGTATCAGTTTGTTTGCCTGTTTGTATTTCTTTCCCATGGAGGAAATGAAGATTTTAAAAAAAAATTTCCCAACACGTTAGCCAGCCATACTCCAGCTCTTGGACCTGCACCAAAAGGTGGGATGGTGGTGGTAGAAAAAGTTGAGACAGAGAAGGGTATAGGAATTCTCTCTAGATTCCATCTAAGGCCATTTTAGTTTTGATTTCTAGAAGACTCTTGTCCATATTATTTCATATAAACTCAGAGCAGGTGTTTGACAACTGCTGTCTGCATTTAGCGCTTCATATTGAGCTGCGTTCTTCAGTGAAGGGCAGGAGTGATGCTAATCTCTTCCCTAATCTAATATGGCCATCTGCATGAATCTTGGTTGCCCCACTTCAATTAACTACATTAAGCAGTCCACGATGCCTGGGTGTTTTATTAAGGAACATTTTTTATGGAGTGGCTTATTAATAAATTATCAGGAATGAGGCAAGGGACAGAACTCCCGTGGAAGGGTTTAGATGGAAGAGATAGGAGCATCAAAGAGGCTGTTTTATTAGGACACCCAAGTTAAAAATAAAAAGATGTGTTATCCGAATCCTCCCTTGGGAATCATAGCGGATTTGTTTCCTTATCTTCCAAGCTTTTTCCAAATCTTAAGAGCATCGTTTCGAAGGCAAATAATGAGACATCTCCCGAATTTTTTTTTTGAAATTATTATCAGCTATGAAACACCTAATTATTGCTAGCTTTAAATAAATTTGGTCTTATTCCATTATTTCCATGGCATTTTAGTTTCCCCTTTTCCTCAGTGTTTTTAAACTTTCAGCATTTGATGATAAAGTGATTGGCTGTCTCTCTCCTCAGCACTGTGCCTTCGCTAAGCACTGCCATCGCACTTAAGATTATTGA